ATGGAAATGGAGTGATCAGTTCTTGAGGGAGGTGGAGATTGTGCGAAAGGAAAAGTTAGGGAAGGGAGATGAAGATATTTGATGAGTAGTTGTGTGAAGGGAAAGGGGTGTGAGAGAGATTAGGAAGGCCTTCTAGGCTGAGGAAATAAAGAATCAGTCACTGACATAGGAATACAAGAGGTAGAGGTGGTTAGAAATGGCTGGACAGTACAGAATGGAGAATGTAGAGTTCTATTTTTCTCATGTTAAAGTTGAGGTGTCTCTGGAATATCTGAGTAAAAATCTCTAGGAGGTTATTGACAGGTATGGAACTCAGGAGAGAGATCTAAGCCAAAGTAGGCATTTAACACTTTAGTTATAGTGTCAGAGTTGGGCCATTGGTATGGATTAGATGACTCAGGAAATTGTAGTATAGTAACAGAAGATGGCCAAGGACATCAGCGTCTGAGGCAGGGAGGGCTAATGCCTAGCCCACATTAATGTCATTTTCCTCTTCGCCTCCAGTAGCAGGCCTGGCTAGTTGATCACTGGCCTACTTCTTAATGAGTCCAGTTTCCATTGTGATTTCCTCTTTGGATTTTTAAAGAAGCCTGTTGCTTGATTTCTTAGTGTTGAGAGACTTTCCAGTTATTTCCAGATCTTTTTGTTACTGATTCCATTTTAATTAGAGAATATATTTTGTATGATTTCAGTCTTTTGAAAAATATTAATACTTGCTTTATGATCCAGTATGATCTGTTTTGGTGAATGTCCATGTACAATTAAAAAGAATATCTGTTCTGCTCTTGTTGAGTGTAGTGTTCTATAAAAGGTTATTTAGGTAAAGTGGCTATTAGTGTTTTTTTTTATTTTTTATTTTTTAAATTTTTTTATCTTCATCTGAGGACATTTTTACGTTCATCTTCAGATAGAGCAAGAAAGAGAGAGAGAGAGAAACATCAATGTGAGAGAGACACATCGACTGGCTGCCACCCTCATGACCCAACCGGGGACAAACTGCAACTGAGGCACATGCCCTTAGCGGGAACCAGGTCTCTCTGGACCGCAGGCCAACGCTCTAACCACTAAGCCAAACCGGCCAGGGCTTTTAGTGTTTTCATATCTTATATATCCTCAGTTCTACTCTTAATCTTAGCCGAAAGGTTGAGAAGTGATTATCTTTACTTCTGTACCCTTCTATTCCACCCCCTTCCATCAATTACTAAGAGAAATATATTAAAATATGCAGAGGTGATTTGGATTTGTCAGTTTCTGCTTTTACATTTGTCAGTTTCTGGTTCATGTTTCTTCCTCAGTGCCCTCTTGGCCAGGCCGCCACTATAGGTTTGCTGTGTTCCTCCACAAAGGGTCACAGGTCCTCTTAGGAAGCTTTCTAAATACACTTTCTCTGCTTGCCTTTCCCTTTGTCCCTTTAGGCTTTGGGGTGGTAGTGGCTTTCTGTTACTGCTAGTCCCATTCTTGGTTTCCCTAAGCTCTGCCCACACCTACATATATGGTTCCTTTATTATATTGTTACACAGTTTGAAAATCCAGTTCAAAAGCCTGAAATGAGTATGTGTCTGACATGTTAAGGAATAGTGATGAGAACCGTATGGCTGGAGTAGAGTAAGTGAGGAGGACGCCAGAAGGAGATGAGGTCTGAGAGGAAACGGGGTGTCTGGGGGCTCATCAGAATAGTCTTTTAGGCCACTGCAAGGACCTTAGGGTTGACCAGAGGACTGACATGACTTGTGGCTGTTCTGTTGAGAATAAACTGTAGGGTGCAAGGGTTGAAACAGGAGATCTGTTAGGAGATGAGAGAATGCTGTTTAAATGAGAAAATCATTTAACTAGTAAACCCTAAATTGGCTTAGGTCAGCGTGGTGGTGGTAGAGGATGTGGTGAAAAGTGGACGATACTGGAGGTATCTTAAAGACAGAGTTAATGGGATTTTCTGATGGGGTATGAGTGAGAACAGTTAAGAATGGCTGAAAGATTTCTGGTTTGAGCAACTGGAAGAATTACATTGCCATCAGCAGAACTGTGGACTACTGTGGGTGGAGCACATTTTGTGGAAAGATCATAAGTTCAGTGTTGAATGTTAAGTTTAAGTTGACTATTAGACATCGCAGTATCTGTTGGTATCTGTGTTTGGAGTTCTGTGGTCTGGGTTAGAGATATAAATTTGGAACCAGCGATATATATTAGTTGCACTTAAAAGCATAAGACAGGGTGAACATATCAAGGAGAGGTTGTACATAAAATAGAAAAGAGGCCAGAACTGGGCCTCTGTACTCAATGCTAAGAAATTGAGAAGGAAGAGGAAGCCAAGATGACTTGAGAAATCAGAGGGAGGTAGGAGGAAAACAGGAGGTGAGGGGGCAAGGAGGAGAAGGAAAGGTGGGGGGAGGGGGAGAGGTAGAATATCCTACTGTGAGTTTGACAGGAGACAGGGCCCAGACTCCATTCTGGAAATTATAGCGACCTTCCCCCTGGCAGCTGGGCTGTGGGTACTAACCTAGGTTTGGCTGATTAAATGCCCTTGCCCAGGACTGAATCATGAGGCGGTTGCACAGAGGCTGCAGGAACAGTTCACTTATGGCAGTGTTCTTACTGTTAGAAGATGCATCAGAAGCCTTTAGACTAAAGATGAAGAATCATGATTTCTGCAACTTAAGATAGTGTTTTTCCAACTTTTCTACAGGTTTGAAAAATATAAAAATAAAATGGGAAAAAGTTGTTCTCTGCTCAAGGTGTTCCATGGTGTGGATTTAGTGTTTGCCAGGGGGAGGATCTCAGTATGTTTATCCTGGGGAGTGACTTTGACTGTTTCCTGTTGCCATCCCTACCATGCTGTGGGCTATTTCTGAGTCTAGGTCTCTTCAGTGACCCATGGTTCTGTAAGTTACTTCACATAACTGCTGTACAACGTTTACTAAGGTATTTTGTGATGGCGTTTCTGTTACAGCAGTTATATGAGGGACCTCACAGGAACCGAGGTTACTTAGTCAGGATTAAATGAAATAGCATAGATAATGTATCTATAACAATATTTGCCAAATTGCCAGTATTCAGTAAATCCTCAATTAGTTGATTAGACTAGTTCAGAGGGAAATTATTTTGATGTGTACAGCTGAACTCTAAACATACATCTTCTGTATCAGAAAGTATACCTGGGTTTTGTAGTGTTTCTAAATTTTTCTCAACTTACCACATACCTGTAATACATTTATTCATCTATAAAAACTTTATTCCCACAGATTCACAAACTTCTTCGTTTGTAAAGTCTGTCTCATGGGGTTATTTTGGGACTGTGTAAAGTACTTAGAAGATAGTAATCATTCAACAAGTATTGGCTGTTGTTATTATTACCATGATTTAAGGCCTTAGTCTCCAGGATACTGCACTAGCTCGAACCGCAGTGTTAAAAGATGTCACAGCTTCTTTTTTCCGAGTCTTTGAGCCCTTTCCAAATGAAGTTCCAGGTACAGATGGTATCAATATGCCTACTTTGCTGCTGGAGAAAGCAAAGCAGAGATTGTTCAGTTTAGTCTTGCACTTTAGACTGTCAGCCGGAAATTAATGTTATTAAAATAAAATTAGAACAGTGGCCTTGGCCATTTTGGCTCAGTGGTTGGAGCATTGGCCCCCCAGACCAAAGGGTTGTGGGTTCAATTCTTGGTCAAGGGTGCACACTGTGTTGCACGTTTGATCCCCGGCCTCCGTTGGGGTCTTGCAGGAGCCAGCCATTCCATGTGTCTTTCTCTTCCCCCAGCTCCCTGCCTCTCTATCTAAAAATCAATGGAAGAATATCCTTGGATAAGGATTAACAACAAACAACAACAAAAATTAGAACCATGTAGCAGTTATTTGGAACTTTTTCTCTGTTTTGTTTCTTGTAGGAATTATTGGCATATATACCACTGGGCTCTGTTCTTTTTATGTACCTAGAAATAATGAATTTGGGGTTATGTTACTAGAGGACTTGAAGTTGTTTGTAGTAACGATAAGAACCTATAGAGATGTCAAGAGGTTGCAGTTTTGTGTTAACAGTACCACCCTGTGGATACTTTGGATGATACTAAACAAAATACTTCCTTCTGTATTATTGCTGATGCTGTTACTATTAATGAGAAAATAAAACTGCTTAATATGTATATTTTATTGAACTTCACCTTTTTTGCTAGCATAACATTTATTTTATTTTTTAAAATTATTTTTATTAATTTGTTTTTGTTACAGATGTTTCTCCTTTTTCCCCCATTGACACCCTTCACCCCCCCACCCCCGTCCCTTCTGCAGCTTTGTTGTCTATGTTCATTGGTAATGCATACATGCATGTAAGTTCTGTGGTTTATTCCTTCCCCCCCAACACCCCCTCTTCTGGGGTTTGTCAGTCTGTACCCTACCTCTATGTCTCTGGGTCAATTTTGTTTATCAGTTTAGTTCATTATATTCCACAAATAAGTGAGATCATGTGATATTTATGGTGTTTCCTCAAAAAGTTAAAAATTGAACTGCCATTTGACCCAGTGATCCCACTTCTAGGAATATACCCTAAGAAGCCTGAAACACCAATCAGAAAGAATATATGTATCCCATATTCATAGCAGCACTATTTATAATAGCTAAGATCTGGAAACAACCCAAGTGTTCATCAGTAGATGGGTGGATAAAAAAGCTGTGGTACATGTACACAATGGAATACTATGCAGCTGTAAGAAAGAAAGATCTCTTATCATTTGAGATGACATGGAGAGACCTGGAAAGTATTATGCTAAGCCAAACAAGCCTAGCCTAATATTTAAAATGTGAATTTCACCAATGTTTCCCTTCTCCTTTCCATAACTTGTACTTTGGATAGAAGCTTTAGAGCACAGCCCGCAAGCCTCTGTGTGCCTGACACAGACTGATGTGGGTACATTTTGGTAAGAGTCAGGAGAGTCATTGTTGGGAAAGGCATGGGTATGATTTTCTCACTTGTCTCTTGTAATGCTTGTGTTTTTTAATTCTCTTTTTAGGTGATACAATCAGTATTGGAGATGTATCCTACACTTTGAAAACTCCTAAGAGCCCGGAACTTGTGCCACAGAACTATAGTAAGAAATATTTATTTATGAATGACGAACTTGTAACTTTTAATTATGTGAATTTTTAAACATATACAAAGCTAAAAGGAATAATATAAATCTGATTTACACATCATTTATCTTCAGCATTTGTCAGTGTATCCCAGTCTTTTTTATCTGACTCTCGTTTTTTTTTGTTCTGGAGTATTTAAAACCTATGTCAGATATTGTATCACTTCACCCATGAATATTCCAATAAAACTTTTATTTTTTCATGTACTATAATTTCTTTTTTAATTAGGATAAAATTTATAAACAATAAAAGCACAGTTTTGAGTATTCATTTTGTTTAGTTTTTACAATGTTATAAACCCACATAAACACCAATATTATTTTCATCACTGAGTGTTCTTTTGTGTCCCTTTCCAACTCCCCAGCTCTGGACACCACTGTTCTGTTTTCTACTAGGATAGATTAGTTTTGCCTGTTCTTCAGCTGTATAGAAATAGAATCATATCGTATGGCATTTCTGTGTGTGTGTGTGTGTGTGTGTGTGTGTATGTATGTAAAACTGTCTTCTTTCCATCAAGGTAATGATTTTTAGGTTCACCCATGTTGCTGTACCTATCAGTTTGTTTTTATTGCTGACTATTATTCTATTGTATAAATATACCACATTTTGTTTATCTGTTCTCCAGTTGATGGACATTTGAATAGTTTCCATTTTTGGATTCTTATGAATAAGGTGCTATGAACATTCCTGTACAAATATGTGGTCATAAGTTTTCACTTCTCTTGAATTAATAGGAGTTGGATTGATGTGTTAGAGGTGGATTCCTGTTTAACTTTATAAGATACTGCCAAACAGTTCTACAAAGTAGTTGTACCATTTTACCCTTTGAGTATGTACCTAGGAGTGGAATTGCTAGCTCCATGTTTAACATTTTGAGGAATTACCAAACTGTTTTCTAAAAAAAGGTGTGTCATTTGACATTCCTACCAACAATGTATGAGGGTTCCAGTTTCTCCACATCTTCAGTAACACTCGTCTGTTTTATTATAGGTGTGAAGTGGTATTGTTGTTTGGATTTGCATTTCCATAATGACTCAGTCATTCCTTTGCTCAAAATCATGTCACTTCTTGTTTCAAATTTCTTTAATCTCTAATAGTTTAGGAACAAAGGTAAGCCCTTACCTTTCATGATCTTTCTCAGCCTCATCTTTTGACACTTTCCTTCCCCTATTTAATGTTTCAGTCATGGGGCACAACACAGAATACTTTTTTGTTCACTCTTCAGGTTCTTCCTCTAGATGTGCTCCTTGAGCAAGAATATCTCACTTTCATCTAACATAGATTCCCATTCACTCACCTCCCAGGTGGCTCTGCAATCTGTCTTTTCCTCTCTGTCCCACTTTTCTTTTAATATATATATATTTTGAGTTATCTTCTTAGTGGTCCATTCAGGGATTACAGTGAACAATTTAACTTAAAACAAACTTATTCAGATGGATACTAATCGTAAACAAAACTTTGCTCTGTTCCCTTGATACTTCTTTTGTGCTGTTATTTTATACTAATTATACTTTATTCATTAAAAATTTACTGACACAATTTTATAATTATTGTTTTATGAAATTTGTCTTTTAAATCAGTTATAAGAAAAGAGTTACAAACAAAAGTATGTTTATGCTCTTTGTGTTTACACATATAGTTGCCCTTACTGGTATTCTCTCCTTGTGTGGATTCGAGTTGTGCCTTGTGTGCTCTCATCTCAGCATGAAGGAAGGGCTCCCTTTAGTGTTTCTTGTAGGGAAGATCTGCTGTGATGAGTTCTCGTAGTGTGTGTTTGTCTGGAAATTTCTTAATTTTGCCTTTATTGTTTGAAAGAGAATTTTACTGGATATGGAATTTTTGGTTGACAGGTTTATTTTCTTCCTTTCAGCACTATGAATATGTCATCTTACTGCCCATAGCTGCCATAGTTTCTGATGAGTCATTATTGATTTTATTAAGGATCCTCCTCTATGTGATGACTCACGTTGCGTTCGGCTATCAAGATACTCTCTTTGGCTTTGGCTTTTGATAGTTTAGCTATGGTATGTATGATAACAAATCTCTTTGAGTTTTACCTATTTGGAGATTGTTGAGCTTCTTGGATGTGCAGATTAATGTTTTCCCATCAACGTGGGGGGAGTTTTTTTTTGCAATTATTCTTCTTTTTTTTTGATAATGAAAAGAAAAAAAAAGCCAGTTATCCCTGTGGTAACTTTTATGACATCTCCTGCTTAAAACCCAAAAGGTCAGAAGGATCGAGAAGCCCCACTTTCACAGTCTGTATTTGTACTGAAAATCAGGATCAAGCGAGCTTTTGCCTTTCTGCTCCACGGGAGGTTTCTGTCCTCCCTGAGCTTGCCTTAATTGGCAGTTATTCTTTATTGGTTTTTATTTAATTAAAAAAAAAATTTAACCCAAAACAAGACTAATATATTTGATTTATTACTAAGGTAATCCTAACAAGGTAAGGATACTTAAGTTATCATGCATTGGAGAGCAATTTTTAAAATAACCATCACTGTTGATAGAAATGTGTGTGTGTGTGTGTGTGTGTGTGTGTGTGTGTGTGACTTCTTTCTTTCTGGGACTCTTACTATGTATATTTTAGTATATTACATGCTGTGCCACGGATTTCTGAGGCTCTTTCTTTATTCTCTCTCTCTCTTTTTCTGTTTCTTAGACTGGATAATTTTTTGACCTATATTCAAGTTTGCCTGCTCACATCTGTTGTTGAGCTCCTCTAGTGAATTTTTTAATTTTACTTTTCAACTTCAGAACTTCTATTTGGATCTTTTTTATAATTTATTTCTTTTTGATATTTTCTGCAAGATATTGACATGCTTTCTTTTTAGTTCTTTGAATATATTTGTAATAGCTGATTAAAAGTATTGTCTATTCAAAAAAAAAAGCCCTGGCCGGTTTGGCTCAGCAGTTGGAGCGTCAGCCTGCAGACCAAAGAGTCCCGGGTTCAGTTCCTGCAAGGGGCACGTACCAAAAAAAAAAAAAAAGTATTGTCTATTAAGTCCAATGTCTGGCTTCCTCAGAGATAGTTATATTGACTGCTGTTTTTCTCTGTATAGGGGCCATAATTTCCTATTTTTTTGCATTTCTTATGCATTTTTTTGTTAGAAAGTGGACATGTTAAATAATATAATGTGGCCAGTCTGGAAATCAGATTCCTCCCTTCCCCAAGGTTTGTTTTTGGTCATTGTTGCTGCTGTTTGTTTGTTCCCTGACTTCCACAGGGTATTTTTCTGAAGTCTGTATTCTTTTTTTTTCAGTCCTCACCTGAGGATATTTTTCCATTTATCTTCAGATAGAGTGGGAGGGAGGGGGAGAGAGAGAAACATCAGTGAGAGAGACACATCGATGTGAGAGAGACACATCGATTGGTTGCCTCCCTCACGACCCTACCAGGGCTAGGGACAAACCACAACCAAGGTACGTGCCCTTGACTGGAATCGAACCCAAGGCTCTTTGGTCCACAGGCTGATGCTCTAACTGCTAAGTCAAACCAACCAGGGCTGAAGTCTGTATTCTTAGTCATGTGCTGCCACTGAAGTTTCTGCTTGGTTAGCTTAGTGCTCAGGTAATGATTGGACAGAAATCTTAAATGCATCAAACACATAAATTGTCTCAGCCTTTGCCTAGGATCTCTGTGAGCACGTTGGGCATGATTTCAGTGTTCCACAGATGGCTTATGAGGGTGTCTTAGCCTTTATTTTCTGCTGGTGCAAAGCTCTAATGTCAGCCAGCTGTGTGAGATTAGGCCCTTCTCAGACTTTCCTGGACATGTGCATGGCTTTCGAGACGCCTAGGCATTCACTGGAGCTTTGCAAAGCCTCCTTTGGACAGCTCATTCCCAGTGTTTCCTTTTAAGTTTTTTTGTCATTCTCACCTTAGCTCCAACTGGTTTTGCTCCCTTAAGCAGCTGTGCAGTTAAGCAAGTGTTGCTGATTTTTCTTTGACACAGGCCCTAGGGTGGTGCTGTTTGCATACAGGGAGTTCTGAGTGGGTCAAATAAAGACAAATTCTGAGAATGGAGCTTTTCAGGGAGCTTCCGGAGAGGTCACTATAGATAGTTCCCTGGGGGTGAGGCTTTGGGGAGCTCTAACCCTGTTCTGTCCCCCTCAGTAGTTTGCTGGTCTTCACCATCATTGTGGGCCAGTTCCATTCCCAATCAGGGCACATGCCCGTTGTTTCTCTCTCACATCGATGTTTGTCTTCCTTTCCCTTCCTCTCTCTCTAATGTCAATAAAACAGTAAATAAAAAAATAAAAAAGTTTACCTTGTTTATCCTGACACAGCTATGGAAGATTCTTCCTTCCTTCTCTTGCCGTTCTACTAGGGATGAAAACTAGCTCTGCGCCTTTTCCCTCCTTGAAAGGGCTTATTAATTTAGTTCATTTAGGTTTCTTTATATCCTTAGCTGTATGGTGGGTTTTTAAGAAACTGTTTTTTAGATTAACTGGCTCGTTCTGGTGGTTAGGTTGGAAGTGAAATTTTCTTGTAATTCTCTGTAAGCTAACTAGAAGTGGGAGTTATTTTCAATGTTTGTTATTTATTATGCCCAATTATATTATTTTGATAGATAGGCTTTCTTTTCTGGGGTTAGACTAATGACATAATTCTTTAAGGTATTATACTTAACTAGAGAAAAGTTAACAAAATATATCTATAACACCTTACATGTCGTAGGTACATAATGATTGAAAAAAAAAATCACTCATTTTTCTGATTTTTGGCTCTTTTCTTATTATAAATGTGGCTAACTTTTTATAATAAGCTTCAGAAGACAGGAATAATATCCAGTGTTAATAGACAACTGGAAAACTTTTATGTAGTCTGAGTTCTATAGGGTAAGAACTTGCTTGGGGGGAAATTATACTTAAAATTTTGTCTGTACTACTTTCGAGATGTGTGGATTTCATTTTCTTTTTCTTTTTTAGATCTGTTAATTTCCATAGTCATTTAA